AACTTTGAATATAACGTTAAGGGTTTGGACATCACTGATTTGCATGGTCTTTACATACACAGCTATTCATAGTATAAGTTATAAGAGAATAATTTTCAGAGTTTGGAAGGTCATTTCAGATAATTATAGTCTTTTGCTTAGCTGTCTCTTTATGCTTTACTGTTATCTTGTTGGTTTGTTTAATAGAGGTAGGAGTTGAATGCTATGGTCTTTACAATTGTGTTGTACTAGACATCTAATTTAAGCTTTGACCGACATTTTGTTCTAAGTCATTGTAATTTCATTAAAAAAAAAAAAATAGTCAGTACTAAGATGATCTCTTTAAAAGATTATGTTGATAAATTTTTAACTGATGTTCTGCAGAAGGGGGTTTATGCTCATTTGTCTTACTAGTCTCTTGATTTTGAAATTGATGTCATGGTAGAATTTAATTTTATTTTATTTTTTTTTTTTTTTAATATGTAAAAAATTTTTACTCTACCCCCATCCATCAAGATTGGTAACTGGTATCCTGAACCTGACAATTATTTACTTGTTAGTTTTGCTACATACATTGATGTTGATATATATATATATATATATATATATATATATATATATATATATATATATATATATTTTTTTTTTTTTTTTTTTTTTTTAATTATACTGGCTAACTTGGATGCAATTGTTTCAATGGGTTTTAAACAACGCTGTAGTTAATTAATTTGGTTTCCATTAGATCTGGATGCGACTTAGGAAAAATGTACTGAATTTTCTTTGATTTCAGCCAGTTACAAAAAAAAATGAAAAAAAAAAGTGTTTTCCTCTCTTCTGTTTCTGTTTTCGCTTACTTCCATTCAATAATAGAAATGGATGGGCTCCAGTGATAATAGTAACCTAAATTGACTAGTGTATCTGCTTTTTTTTCTTTCTGTGTAAGAATATTTGCAGGTTTACAATATATTTCACTAAATGTTTTTTGCCTAACTTCAGGACATCTCTGGCTTACAGCCATATAGTGTTGAAACACCAATTCCCATACAATTACTGAAGTTAAGCAACATTTACCCTGGTCAGTATCTATATGGGTGGCCACTTAGGAATACTAGGTGCTGTAAGCTTGGATGTGTTGCAATTTCAGTTGGATTCATTATATTCACTTGAGTGCAAATACCTGTGGAGAGGTATAAATTCACCTCAGCTTTGTCACAAGCAGTGACCCCCCCAAAAAAGGGAAAAAAAAGGGTGTTTTAAGTTATCTATCATGCTTTAGATAAGACTGGCAAAGTTTTTTCTGTGGCTCTAGATATCTCGGACGTTTGACAGGGTTTGACATGCTGGCTTTTTATACAAGCTCCAGGGCTACAGTGTCATGGGTAATATTTGGCTTAAACTAGTCATTCCTAACAAATCTAGTAATTAAGGTCATATTGATTGAGCATGCTTCCAAATCATTTCATACTAACAGAGTTCCCCAGGGCTCTATCCTTGGAACTACACTGTTTTTGATCTTCAATGATTTCCCTTATGTTATCAGTTACCAACCAGGTATTTATGCAGATTACACTATCATTTAATCCTGTCTTAGTAACAAATCCAACAGATTTGATAAGTAAACCTGGCAACTACTTTTGAAAAAGACCTCCCCCCAAAAAAATCAGTGGTTAACTGGGGCAAGAAATGGCTTGTAAATTTCAATGCCTCTAAAACAAAACTATCATTTAATTAACAGAGAACCTGAACTCCAGGAGAACAATACTCTGTCTTCTTGGCATGAAATTTTTCACTGACATGAAGTGGAGTTGACTATATTGAGTCTTCAGTCACTTTCTCACCATGACATGGTTTCCTCTGTCTGTTCTACAGATGATTTTCATGGTAACAGCTTGGACAAGCTTTTTTTTTCCTGGTGCCTTGACTACATGAATTTAAGCATGCTACTGGATTGGCAACTAGGTTTCACCATTTTACTGTTGAATGAACAAAATGCAACCATCATTTCCACTTTAACAGTTTTTTTTTTTCTCATACTTCCAACTTGTGGAAGACCCTTCCAATTTCTTGCTTCCTTGATAACTACAATCTTCAAAGATTTAAATGCAACGTCAATATTCATCTTGTCTTTTTGAAGCCTGTTCTTTGTTGTTGCTCTTTCCTCAGTTCTCCCCGTTTTCAATCTTCTCATTCACACCCTGTAACTCCCTGCATTCTAGTAGCATTGTCACTCTGTTTATAGTGAACCAATTTTAAAAAAAATTGTGATAAAACTAGAAATTACAATACCATGCCTGAAATTTGAATTGAATCCTGTGTTTAAATATATTAAATTCAATATTTAAAATGATTCAGTCTGTAATTTTTTTCTCTCCAAATTTAGCATAAGTAAAATTTTTAGTTAAACTTTCTGCAACCAACTTCCAGAAAAAAATTTATTAGATGAAAACCCACCATGCAAGCAGGATTTACAGCATGTTTCTAAATAAGTTCTTTGCTCCAATAAATGATCATGATTTGTACTATGTATTTACTGAATCATACTTTACTTGAAATTCATCATTGTTTGATCATCTTTAATTTAAATATGAGGGGCTGGGAGAAGTGGTCAATTGACCATAAATTTTTCCATCCCACTTTTTATTGCAACAATACTGGCATAACACTGAAGGATATTTTTTGTGAGGATTTATCTAGTCCCCACCCTGGTATAACCAGAAGTGATTTCTGTGGGCTATAGTGGATGAGCAGGCTGGTGAGAACCAGGGAAATCATGATGGTTTCACTTGGTATTTCAGAGCTGGAACAAAAGCTTCAATAAGTTTTCACCCAGGAAGAGATCTCAGTGGCACATTTCTGATCAGAATGATTAAAAATATCCTTCTAGGGACATCCCGAAGGTAATCACGAAATGAGTCTTAATTGGTGTGTTGATAACAAAGAAATTTTGTTAATCTAATCCAATTTTTTCTACTTTTTGTTTAAAAAAAAAATTATACATTATACAAAAAGCATCAAATTCTCTAGAAAATTTCTTGATTTGTCACTTTGCAATAATTAAGACAAGTGTTAAATTTACCAATAAAAATACTTAGTTTAATTTTGGAAAATTTTATATCTTACAAAGGTACAAAGTTTGTCCAAAATATATTTAGCTATTTTAATTATTGGATTGGTTGTATAGCCTTGATGTAACTTAGCAAATTATCCCAATGTGAACACTCTACCATATGCACTTACTAGTGTGACAATTACTGGGTAGATTCTTTGCATCTCATGCAGTTTTTATCAGCCCCCTCCTTTCTCACATGCAATTTCCAGCTTTTCTCCCCTAAACTAGAATTGCATTCAAATATTGTGGTAACAGAAAATCTGCAAAGTGCCCTTCCATTTTGAATGGTGGAGCTGATACTGATTATGGAAAACTGATAACAAAACATCTGTGTATACATTTATTTGATGTTTTAGCTAGGACAGTGGTCATGTCCAGGCTAACTCTGAAACTGCAGCAAAAAAAAAAAAAAAAAAGGTCACCTTCTCACTCCTCTTTCTCCTACAGGAAGTATAAGTGAGTAAAGCGATAGAGGTCAAGTATTGTAAAGTGGAGAATAACTAATCATTTGGAAGGATTGCTGGATCAAGTTGAATGCTTGGATAAGAGAGGTTCTGTGTGTCTGCGGTTTCAGTTCTTAGTTCAGTGAATGACATTTGTTTAGACAAAAATAAAGAAACTTTCACACAATATAAACATTCTGAAAATTTATATAGTATCAGGTTTTTAATTGTGGGTGGAAATTTTTTCAGCTCTGCTTAAATTTTACAATGAGTATTTTTATTTCTATCTTTACCTTTCAGAGCTGATTTTTCTTATATCCCTTTGTAATTTTTTTAAATGTTTTGGTATGATCAGTAATTCTATAATTTAATATCAAAATGCATTTATATTAACTGGCAACACTGAAACTGCTTTAAATTTTTTTATTTAACTTAAATCCTTTACAATTTCTATAAAAACTGAAGCAATATATCCTGTTTGAAGGATGAACCTTAAATAGCATTCAGTAAGTTTAATTGATCAATATTTTTGAACTGCTTGAAATATTTAAACCAAAATGACCAACATTGAAATGAATTACTGTTCAATATTAGTGGAGTGGATATATTGATTAATTCTCTCAGTCTCTAATTTTATATCAATGCCAAATACATGACAAAATCGAGAAATTTAAGGTTTGTCAGTAAAAAAAAAAGAGAATTTCTGAATGAGTAATAGAAAAATAAAAAAATTGCAATTTCATATGAAATTTGCATAATTTTAAAAATTATGATCATAAGAATATTGCATTCTATTTGAATTTAAAACACCCACACAGAGTATCTCCATTTGAACTTTAACAACATCTAAAAGGAAAACAATGTAGAGCTGACTGGGTTTTATCAGCTTTTATCACCAATCTTTGCCATTTACTAATTTAACTATACAATTAGTTAGTGGAACAGGGGGTAGGTTAAGTTTGTTCTGTTGAAATTTTCTAAATTGAAGAAAACTTTGTAAGTAGATATTGATAGGTTTAGATAGGGGACGTTTTAGTTGCTCTATTTTAATAGAAATGGTGTGTAAAGTAAAATAAAGGGGCTGATTACATTGTTGAACTATTAACTGCCTTTGGTTTGTTTCTTTATTGAAATCTGTGATTAGATTGCTGGGAAATACTTTGTGGTAACCTTTGTTTTCAATTCTATATAGTTTTACCAATATATTAGAATACTCCTTTCTGATGAACATTTATTTACTTATTTTTTTAATTCCACTATTTTTGTAAATCATTTGAAAAGAATTGAAAAACTGGTTTTATAATGATAGTTCTCTCCAAACACTATCTGCTAATAAGTGGCAATAAAACTGTAAAATATGATTCTCAATTTAATTTTGATCTGTGAGCTTTGTGAGATCTTTCATTCTATTTAATGTGATGGTACTAATCTGCTTTCTTTTTCTTGCAGCTCCTGGCTGAACATTAATCATGCAGACAATAAAGTGTGTTGTGGTTGGTGATGGTGCTGTAGGTAAAACCTGCTTGTTGATATCATACACTACCAACAAATTTCCATCAGAATATGTCCCAACGGTAAGTAGAATTCTGTAATTGTTATAGCTGTTGTTGTTATTGTTGGATTGTTATTAGTAGTAAATTGTTTTGTCAACAGGTGGATTATGTATTTGTCAATGCAAGCAATGTTGATTACTGTGTGTAATAAGACACCAGAAAAGTACTTTCAATTGTTTTCAAAATGCAGATTAGATGTTGTACTTTATTAAAAAAATGTTAACTCCTTCGATTATAACCCATAAAAATTATCATACAAAAAAATTGTTGCAAAAATCATGTTTAAAAAAAAAAAAAAAATAATTGCTGAAACAATTGCAGTAATGAAAATTTGGGAATCCAAAATTTCTGTAACATGAGCTATTGAAAGTCAGTTGTTTCCCTTTTAATTGAAAAAGTGTGACACAGTGACATTGGCATTTATGAAATAGAAGCTGGAGGATGACCTAATGAGAGTTGTCCCTTTAATTGAAAAAGTGACACACTAGCATTAGCATTTATTATATATATATATATATATATATATATATATATAAAACAGTGTAAATGTCGGAATCGACTGTTTGGTGAATGCTAGTTTTAGGTTTCAATATGACCTTCAGAGCAAGGTCTTTTAAGATGCATTGAAACATGAAACTGATAATCACTGTGCAGTGTTAATTCCCATGTCCACATTGTATATATTCTTCCCCTATAAATGGCTTTTTTTTTTTATTATATATATATATATATATATATATATATATATATATATATATATATATACACCTTAAATCCCTGCAAAGAATATAGTGAATTATTTAAAACAGCTTTTTTGAGGAGTTTCCACACCTTGAAATGAATTTTAATTTTAAAAAATTAACTTTAATTGGTTAATCTTCAATATTTCATACCTCATATCAAATGAATTGTCATGTGTAAATATATCTCCCTATCATTACATATACAAACTAATTATCAGTCTCTCTTTAGAGGAAATATTTAATTTTGCTGCTCCAAAGAATTTGTAGAAACCTGTTGTTTAATGCAAATTAACAAATGAAGTAAAAAAACAAAAAACATTTAAGTCTGGTATCTTAGATTCATAAGACTTTAGAAAATGCAGCTCAGTTCAATTGCTTTGTTAGGCCATGTGTACTAAATCTATTAATAGCATTCACTTTTTATTATAACCCCTCCTGCCTTTCCATTTAGAGGATTTGGTATTTTTAGGAATGGGTTTTTCATTTTTAAACAGACATAATTTATTGCTTAAATATTATTTTTAATGGATATTCATATTTCAGTAGATGCTCTGTTTTTATTTATTTACTAGTTTAAAAGCTGCCCTATCAGGCAGCATTTAAGCTAGTTCCTGCAGAGGGTCCTTGATTGGGCTTTCATCACAATAGGTAGGGAGGAGTAGATGCAATAGGCAACAATAAACTTCAGAAGAACTAGAAATTGATTACTGTATTTAAGTATTGAATTAATATCTAAGCTTATCTTTTAAAAGTTCAACAATAATTCTTCTGCTGCCACTTAATTTGAGGACAATTTGATGTATGTAGGTCCTTACTTTCCATACAATTTTTATTTCATGGATGACTTTTGCTGGATTTTGCAATTTCGATTAATCCCAAATATATTTAAAAGTTATAAAAATTATTGTACAAAAAAAATTTGTTGCAAAAAAATCACTGAAAACAATTGCTGTAATGATAACTTGGGGATCCAAAATTTCAGGATTGCAGCTCCAGATCCGGCCCAGAATGTTTTTAAGTTGCTCACAGTTGGCCTGATTCCAAAATGGTATATGTTGGGCTATGACCTCTCGGAGTTAAGTTGAAAAAGTGTGACACACTGACATTTACATTTATTATATAGATTAAACAGTATGTTTATTTCCATTTATCATCCTGAATATTCAAGAAATCTTATTAGAAAAATATGGGCTCTCTAGCAGGATTCGGTATCAACAAACTCGGTTCTATATTCCTTCAGGTTAGAGGAAATTATGAATTTTTACAGCAGGTTTTTTTTTCTTCACTCTCTTTAAGCAGTACTTGCTTCTTTTTTTATTTATCTATCTTGTTATACCACCCATTCATTCAAACAACTTCAGTTGGTTTTCTACTGCTTACATCTGCTTCTTGTCTTTAATGTACCCTGTGAGTGTTAAGTTCTCAGTCTTCTTTCCTCATTGTGTTCCCAAAATTCTCTAATTGTTAGCATGTTTCATTGTAGCTCCTATTTTCTTTATAACTTTCATTCGTTACAGTCTCTGTCTATGATGTCAAGATTTGTATGTAAACCTCACATCTGTCACTACAGGGTTCATCTTAATTGGTGAATAAATTGTACCACATTCACTGATAACAGCCCAGTACATTTTGCAGCTTCCACTGTTATTTTATACTTGATATTTTTCTGAGTTTCTGCCCCACATTCAATCAACTATTCTGCTTAAATGGTTTTCCAATTGAATTCTTTGACTGTTAAGAAAACCATGGATTCTCCAAGCCCATCCACAGATTTGTATTACTTTTTAGCATTTTGAGGCAGTTGCTTAGTGGGTTAAAGTGTTGGTTTGTGAATTTTGTGATATAATAATTGTGAGTTCAATCCCTGTGCTGGGTAGTGTATAAACAGGTCAAGAAATAACTTAGCAATACTAAAAATACTAACTACACGAGATATCCCTAGACTTGGGCAGGGGGGTAAGAATACTCTATCCCTGTAGTTTAAGTAAAGAGTTCACTTCAGAATTCCCTGTAGGCTATTCCAATTGATGTATGCCTGATGAAAACCAAAACCTTATGATGACAACAAAGATGAGGACAATAGACCAAATGTGAATAATGATAACTCCTCACCCCCAGAAATTCAAGCAGAAGCTATAGTTCTCTCCTGCACTCTGACAAGTTATTTCATCTCGCTCATCCAGGTGCTTCCTTTCATTCATCTAAAGCCAACCACATAACACAAGCAGGATCTCTGCTTCCATACAAGTACCATAATGACTTATTCTTCTCTGACTCTTCACTATTGGTTATGACTCACTCCTAACTTTTTTAACCTCCTTTCCTATTTCCTTTTTGCTTATGGTTTCTCTCATTTTCAATTACTTGGCTTTTTCATCCCTCTTCTCCTCCATATGCTCTTTTCTTTCTGTCTCCTCATACTAGGCATTTGGGTTTTTTTTTTTTTCATTACTTTGTTTTAAGTAGCTTGAGATTTGTGTGTACACACACACACACACATATATATATATATATATATATATATATATATATATATATATATATATATATATATATATATATATATATAATGTGTGTTCAAAAGCACTATTCAGGCTTTGTTTGATCAGGAGGTCCTACATGACAGAAGGCACATTGGATTGAATGAATTTCCCCTAGGGGATGCAGGTTCAAATCCTGCCAGAGGGCACATACTTGTTTAACAAGACTTCTCGAATATTCAGGCCGGTAGATGTAAATAAATAAATATACTGTTTAATTAATAAATAAATAAACACATAGCATCTACTCAAATATGAGCATCCATTTAAAATAATATTGAAACAAATAAATTAAAAATGTCGGATTTGATCCATTTTCTAAAAATTGTCTTTGTTTATGTTAGGATAAGAATCAGAACAGATATGTATATTTTGAGAATCGAGAAGCACTATTTGTACTTTGATTGATATATGTCCAAGTATAGGATTGGTGTATACGGAATAAATTCCAATAACCAAAAAAATACTATTCTTTCAACACTATCACTTGATAAGACACCAGAAGTGTTGAAACAAAATGGATATTTTTGTAGTGAATTTTATAACATATGTTACAATTTTCAAATATATATATATATATATATATATATATATATATATATATATATATATATATATATATATATATATATAAAATTCCCCCTTCATTATTTTAATCATAATTGTTTTAATTCAGAGAGAAACATGAGCATGTTTTTAAGACTCTATTTAAATCAAGAGTACACTTGCTCTTAATGTCTGATATGCCATCTATCAAGTGTAAGTTGATAGGTAACAGAGCTCCATAAACAAGTCCGGATGAAGTAATTGTGACACTGGAAGTCGGTGGTTGTGGCCACTGCCAAAGTTGCATAGTTGGAACTCTTCTCTTTGAATGTTCGTTGTTTTTTTTTTTATCTGGGCTTATTTGAAGTTTGCAAAGATTTGGTGGGCAATACCATGCCAATCCTGTTGCCAATTTCAGGTATGTAAGGTGCTAAGAATTCAGTTGTAAGATTAGACAAATTATTCAGAGTAGGTTAACAAAAATATGTGCTACTAAAAAAAAAAATAATCTCCAGGTTATGAGGTGCCTATAAGGTGTGGGATATCAAATCACATATGTATTTTATGACACAAGAGACACTTGGCCATCATTAGAACAAATACAATTAAATTAGCCCTAAATGATTTTACTTGAGTTTGAAGTATCTGGTGTTTTTATGACCAGCAGTAAAATCTATCATGAAAGATTTTCAAAGTGACCACTTACTGACCATAAGGAAATAAAATTAGGTAAATAAATGAAAACTGAGGGTGTACAGGCTGTTAGTCAAGAATTCTGAACAGAAAAGAGATGGATATAGTGGTATTAGGAGAGTTGGTTCTTGTTGGCCTAAGGGAAAATCTTGACCATTGGTCTGTTGTGACAGAAGTAAAACTGATTTCTCAAGTGTCACCTTCCTACCTACCACAGCAATGCAAGGGAATCCCTCAATAAGCCACCAAATATATTGGAAATAATATTCACTTATTTTTTTTTTTTTCTTTTGATTTTACACCTTTGAATTATTTGTGAATATACAACAGGTATTTCTCAGTTTTTTGTGCATACCAACATGAATAAGAATTGAGGCTAAACATGGAGTGATTTGTCCAGTCAGTGAAAATCTGGTGGGAGGGTATTGTATGTTTACAATATTACATCATTCTGTGACTTAGTGGAAAGTCTCAATTTGAATAACTTTTCTTTGTATTT